GGGGGCGTTTAGTTATATACAATTTAGATTTTTTTTTCACAGCAGCTTAAGTAGTAAATGGTAATAACAGTGTAAATTTAGAAAACTCATGAATTATGAAACAAATTCTATTTCAGCTGTAAAGCAGCTTTAAAGACACCATTCTTCAGCTCAATTAAGCTCAGTTTTGATTAAATTGAATTCAATAACTGTGTCATTGCAAAGTTCATGAATTATAACGAACTCAAATCAACTATAAAGTAGCTGTACGGAAGACAATGATGTTCAGAGGCGGACAGAGTACACAGCTTTATTACTTGAGTAAAAGTACTGATACATCTTGATAAATTTTACTCAAGTACAAATCAAATGTCTACCTTAGTAAAAGACACTCTTTATTTTTAAAGTACAAGTAGAAGCGTACATTTTCTAAATTGCATTACTACTGCCACAGTGCTTACATTTAAACGTCCTATACATGGACTTGAAATGGATTTTACAATGAAAAATTGTAATGTTAATACCTTGGAGAATGTAAAAGGAATTGAAAGTAAAATCAAGTCATTTTCATCGTTTTACCACATTGCTTTATTTAAAATGTAAGAAAATTTAAGAAAATTCAGAAAATTTAAATAGTCTGGCAAGGTGGGGCAATGGGTTGGCACTCACGAGACGGACCTGCTGCGTCTTCATCCATTTTTTCGTCCATGGTCTCTTCGTCTCTTATCTAAATCTGACCATTAAGTTGACTTTGGGGGAAATCTGAAGGTGATTGCTGATAGGCTATCCCAATCAATAGCGCTGCACAATCCAACTACGTTTTAGAGTGAAACAACAAATTGAGGATTTAGTAATGGGTACCCACTGTTATGGATAGAAATGTAGTGGATTAAATACAATATTTCCCTCTCAAAGTGGAGTACAATATTTCCCTCTCAAATGTACTTGAGTAAACTCATGAGAAAAAAAAAAATGATACTCAGGTAAAGTACAGATCCCTCAAATTTGTACTTAAGTACTATACTCAAGTAAATGTACTCCGTTACTGTCCGGCTCCGATAATGTTCAGTAAATTTGGTTTAACAAGTTTAATTCAGATATGAAGCAGCACTACAGACGGCATTAGTGTCATTATTCAGCTCAAGCAAGTTCAATGTTGATTCGGTTCAGTTCAATAACAGTGTGGACTTTGCAAAGTTCATCAATTATGAAGCAAATTCAATTAAGCTTAGGCTAAAGCAGCTCAAAAGAAGACAACACTGTCACCATTAAGTTTATGGAAAGCTAGAATATTAATTGTCTTTTAAAATGTTATTTATAGATGTTGAATGCACGATACTACTGTTGTTTGTGCTGTAATTTAACCTAAAACATATATATGTAGAACAACACGTGTTGCCTAATCATGTGCTTAGAGATTCCGGGAGAGTGTTGAGTGTAATTAGCATGGACAGGGCGGATTATCCCGGCGACATGTCCGGAAGATCCCCCGGAGGATGATCTTCCCTTTCATCCCCAACTTTTCACACCAGGCAAGACTTTGAGGATTTTATAAAAGGCTATCGTGTCTGCATTCGTTCAGTCAGGCTGCTCATTGACTTCACCAGGACACCGTGCTAGAACAAGGCCCCCATACAGCGCAACCATGGACGCGTGGAGCGTTCAGTTCGGGAACCTTTCCAAAGTCAGCCCCTTTGAGGGCCCACAGTACCACCTGGCCCCCAAGTGGGCTTTCTACCTGCAGGCAGCTTTCATGGGCTTCGTATTTTTCGTGGGCACCCCTCTGAACGCCGTCGTCCTCTTCGTTACAATGAAGTACAAGAAGCTTCGACAGCCTCTCAACTACATCCTGGTGAACATCTCCCTAGCAGGCTTCATTTTCGACACATTCTCTGTTAGCCAAGTATTCGTTAGCGCTCTTAGAGGTTATTACTTCCTCGGTCATACGTTATGCGCGTTGGAAGCAGCAATGGGAGCTATTGCGGGTAAGACGCAGAGTCTATGAGTTTAAACAGCATAGACATTACATTCAGATTGGTGTGCTGATGCTTGTCTTGTTTCGCAGGTCTTGTGACGGGATGGTCCCTTGCCGTTCTGGCTTTCGAGAGATACGTGGTCATCTGCAAACCCTTCGGAGGCTTCAAGTTCGGACAAAGCCAGGCCATGGGTGCCGTGGCGTTCACCTGGGTCGTTGGCACCGGCTGTGCCACTCCTCCATTCTGGGGATGGAGCAGGTGAAGGAAATTTTCTTGGTGAAATATTTGGAAACACACTCATAATTTAAGGGATTGATTTTAATTTACATTTGATTGTACAGATACATTCCCGAGGGTCTCGGCACCGCCTGCGGACCTGACTGGTACACAAAAAGCGAGGAGTATAATTCGGAGAGCTACACTTACTTCCTCATCGTCACCTGCTTCATCATGCCAATGACCATCATCATCTTCTCTTACTCACAGCTCTTGGGAGCCCTGCGTGCTGTGAGCGTTCCAACTCATTGCTTTTTATACACTCTTGTAGACAGAAATAGATACAAATTTGTTGATTTTTATGATTTTAATGCATTTATTCAGGCAATATTTATGGTTTATGTATGATAAATATGTTAATAAGCATCTAATAACTATTTCATTAATTCATTTGCTTCTGATTTCAACTTCTGGCCATGCTTAAATCAGGCTCAATTATGTTCTTGCATGAAAGCAATGCAGAACAAAATAAATGTAGTTTTTTACAAACTGTCAGATTTTTCTTCATGGAAATTTCATTTCATTAATTTCTTCAAAACATTAGAAATTGAGCTATTAGGCATTTATTAATAACACTGAATTTTCCATGACTGTTCCAATCAGATATATATTAAATATAAGGATATTATTTTTGAGTAATTTAATATATATATAAATGTGTATGTGTGTGTGTGTAGTTCATCAAAATTAGCATGGATATTTCCAAAGCTATAAAATGAAATGCTGGAAATGTTTCAACATTTATCCACAGGTTGCAGCCCAGCAAGCTGAGTCAGCCTCTACCCAGAAGGCCGAGAAGGAAGTGTCCAGGATGGTTATTGTAATGGTCGGCTCTTTTGTGCTTTGCTATGCCCCCTATGCCGCAACTGCTATGTGGTTTGCCAATGCTGATGAATCAAACAAAGATTACCGTCTGGTAGCCATCCCAGCTTTCTTCTCAAAGAGCTCCTGCGTATATAATCCTCTAATCTATGTCTTCATGAACAAACAGGTGAGATGGACACCACACGTGTTGAATAATAACTGTGCACGGAGACAAACACTAATCTTCCGTTTTGTATTCCAGTTCAATGCCTGCATCATGGAGACGGTATTTGGCAAGAAGATTGATGAGGCCTCAGAGGTTTCCAGCAAGACCGAAACCTCTTCTGTGGCTGCATAAATTATTCCATACCACATTTAAAATTTCTCAGGACCTGTTTTCCTGTTATTCTCCCCCTGATTGTTCAAATCCCGTACCTTTACATATTGTCAAGGGCCAAGGGAGCCCATTTGCCCCGAAGACACAGTCCACTGGATGGCCAAACCAGGGGCGATATCCAACTATCCTTTCTATCAGAACTGGTACCTCTTCAACTACATCTTTTCTTTTTTTTTTTTTTTTTGTAATGAAAAAACATTGCTATTTCATGTTAAAACAATCCAGTATGCATCGATGATTAAGTAGAATATTTAATTTATCAACTTGCAAACGAAAATCTAAAAAAAAATGATATTAATTGAGAATGGAGAATCTCTTGTGTGGATGGACTCAGGCAAACTGAAAATGGAAATTCCTGATTTTTGTCTTTAAAATGCTCTTTTTTGACTGACCCATTAGGCACGATGCACTATAATGACGTTTTTTATTCAATCACAATGAGAGCTGAAGGAAACATTGGGAATATACTAACTCTCCATGTCAATCAAAAGTACTTATTTCGACAAAAGAGCAGAATTTAACTAAGTGGTTTACTCTCCTCTCCTCTAAAGAACCTACTCAGGCCCAGCTTTCTGGCTGGCTTAGCCAAGATAAGTAAGATCACAAGGAATTATCCGAGTCCATCCGCTTGTTTGCAGCTGAGGAACCTTTCATTGGAAGTTTGCTGGTAACAAATAATGAGCGACAGCTCTTGTCCAATCTCTGGCTTCATGACGTTGGATCTGTAATATCTGTATCTATATTACCTCTGTACATGTTCTGTTGTAATTAGACATGCAGTGTGCATGAATTTGAACATGTTCACTGTTTTTTAGAATTAATAAAGATTTATATTGTTTGATGCATTTTTTTCTCTCTACCTGTTGGTTTCTATTAAATCAACTGAAATGCACTTTATCCCATTGCCCGAAAGACTAAAATCAACAAATCAATCGAGGATGATAGATTTAAATATGTTGATATATAACATATTACTTTCATATTCTATTTTTACCTATTAACTATACCTATTTCTATATTATCTTATATCTATATATTTATCTATTAACTTACAAGAAGTAGGTACAATAGGTTGAAAAACATAAATGCATGAGCAAAATCCATTTTGCGTTAGAATATAGACAGTATAGTGGCCAAAACTAGGAAATGGGCTTCTTTGCAATTTATTGAAACTTTGCACTTAATAAAACTAATGTGCGTTTTCCAATGAAGCTCAACTTTGGGAAGAACTTAACGAGGATTGGAAAAGACGTTAAGCATGATATGCACAAAGTTTAGCGAGTAAATGCCTAGCAGAATGACTGCTGTAATCAAAAACAAAGGAGATCCCACAAAATATTTACCTTTTGCATCGGAGTTAATGTATATTTCGATTCCATGCTTTTTGTTTTTCAATGCTTTGTCTGCATAATACAATAAAACCCATAAGGTATTCTTCCCAATATAACATTCTCCTCATATTTGGATTAGTGTCATTAAAAGTATTATTTTAATTTTCTTCTATTTTATATTTATTCTATTATTTGGAACTCAAACGAAATGAAAGACAGAAAGTAATACTGAAAAAAGATAATCGGTCATAATTCTTTATTGACAATTTGTTCTTTTCAAGATACAGCTATGGAGTTAAAACAGCACCATTTGAAGGAAGTCACCTGAAAACCTTAGGTGCTTAAACATTTTTATAGGAAAGAAATGTGTTAAATGGACCACAAAGGATGCTGCTATGCTTGTCACATGGCAAATTTGTAACAAACAACAAACTATTCAGCAATGTGTTCGATTGGACCTTATGAACCAAAATTATTTGAAGTTTTAGACATATAGCTCAAACTGAAGATCCAAATCAAATAGAAAATTAGTGACAGGCACAATGAGAGTTGAGAATCTAGGAGTCTTTAAGAATACACAAATCTAATATTGATAGAAATTCATGGGAAATGTGAATGAAGATAATTAAAAAAAAAAAATATAGAAAGAAAACAGTATATTGCCTTTAGAGAGAAACGGGAGGGTCCACATGAATCAATGTTTGTGCCAATACACACAGGAGAGAAATGTGAGATTATTTGTATAAAGCTATAAACATATTCACATAAATGTGTAAATATATACATATATTTTATACCTATTTGTATAAACCCTTAAAAGAAATCAATCTGAGAGCTTTCAGTACAGTATCCTAATGAACAGGACTGTGAACAGCAAGGGGAGCTGATCATAGATCAGTAACATGTATAAAACTGCCTTGAATTTAGTTCTGAATAAACAGATTTGCATTATCAAATATAAATAGTAATTGAAATGATAAAAATGATGTACATGGACCACGATTCCAAAGACAGATCAAACAAACACTCATAACACACTTTAAAGTAAAAACAAAAAAAACTAAATAAGACTGCATGACGTGAATGCATTTCCATGTGCAAAAAGAGAAAACAATCTATCAAGTGAACTAAATCTGAGGATTTAGTGTTGTATTATGTTGAATCAATATAAAATAAATTATATACTTTTACCAAAACAAGTTCAAAAGTAATTTTCTATTATACTAGAAAAAAAAAAAAAGAATTAAAACTCATCATGTCGAACTAACGCCTCCCCAAAGTCAGTCGCTTGACTTCCCACAAACAAATCGTACTTGTTGAGTACTTCCTCTTTGGTGAGTTTGCCATCCTGAAAAACAATGTGACCAGCAACTCAGTTTAAATGATTTCAATGATAACTTTATAAAAGCTGACAAAATTAGTTATGGCGGGCTTACCTTGTCGGTGTCGGACTCGTACACCAGATGCTTTGCTTCGGCTTCTGCGTGGTCATAGTCGGCCGGCAGGATCCAGTCCATGGTTTCCTCTTTGTCCATCTTTCCATCCTTGTTCTTGTCTCTAAACTCTGAAAACTGCTCTCGCTCTGTCGCCACCCATTCTGGCTCGTCCATTTCATCCTCATGGTTGTACATGTCGCCTGACATTCAAACAAACTCAACTGATTTTAAGCTATAACTACACATTTACTTCTTTATGCAATGTATAAAAACTAGGGCTGTCAAACGATTATATATATATATATATATATATATATATAAATAAATACACACACATGCATATATATTTAAGAAAAAAATATTAATTTATATAAAATATTTATATATAATATAAATTATATATAAATTTATATAAAGTATATACATGAAAATATTTATATACTGTATATAAAATAATTATACACCGTGCACCCATATATATTATGTAAACACAAACTTTTATTTTGGATGCGATTAATCGTGATTAATCGTTTGACAGCCCTAATAAAAATATATGAAACTTTTCTGTATTCCACTTACCAATATACTCCTCTAGGTCGATAAAACCATCACCATTCTTATCAATATCCTCCATTGTTTCCTGATGATACATTTAAGGAGGAAGATCAGTGAACTAGGCAGGCGAAAATTACATTTAAAACAGGAAACATCCTAAGCAGATTCCATGAACTTCCTTTATAAATGTGCTGATGGGCAAAATTTGTCAGTGCACAAAATAAAGAAGAAAAAAGAGAGTTTGTTGTATTACGTTCTAATCAACGTCACCAGTATTTTTATTTTTAAATTTTTATTTTTTCTATTCTGGAATGTACACCCACTTTCTATGATCCAATCAATTCCAAATGGATAAAATTATGCCACACTCTATTTTCTCACTGAATTACACATTTCACTTTGGGGTTGGTATTTTTTTCTTTACTTAAAAACTTAATACTTTTAGTTAGCAATGGTGCTTAAAAATGTATCAAAAGTGGCAGTGAAGACATTTAAAATGTCACAAAAATAGATTTCAAATTAAAGCGGTCCTTTTGTACAGATTTCCAGCGCATGAGATTAAATTAACACTTCGTTCCCATGATTTGTGCACGATATAATAATCCATTCCCACGTTTTACTAAATCATGCATGATGCAATATAATAATTTTCCCCCTGTCTTACTAAATTGTGGGCTTGCTGTAATAATTTGTTCCCTTGTTTAGTTAAAAAAGGAAGGAATTTTGCCCGCAAGTGGCGTAAACTCCAAACTTTTGAACGGTAGTGTGTGCGTCAAATTACAAAAGTAAAATGGGATGCGAACAGGTTTCACAATAATTTAGCCTGGGATAAAACTAACCTAATAGAAATAGACTCACCAACACAACAATGTCCTTCATATGTTCATACTCCTCAGGGTGTAGGAAGGCAGTGAACTCCTCTTTGTCAGCGATGTGGTCTCCATTTCCATCAGCCATTTTAAAGCGCCGTTCATCTCTGGCCATCATCTGCTTGTAGTTGTAGCCATCATCAGGTTCAGGATCATCTAGAAAAACACACACAGCACAAATACTAATTTGTGCAATTCTTCTTGACAATTCAGTCATTTGCTCACTCATGTTGTTCCAAATCTGTATGACTGACTTTCTTCTCTGGAACACAAAATATGACATTTTGAAGAACTGTTTTTGTTGACATTTACATTTATTCATTTAGCTGATGCAAAGCGACTAATTGCTTTATATGTCAGAGGTCCCACGCCTTTGGAGCAACTTAAGTTAAGTGTCTTGCTCTGGGACACATTGGTGTCTCGCAGTGGATTAGAACCCGGGTATCTCACACCAAAGGTATGGGTCTTATCCACTGCGCCATCACCACCCCTTGTTCATAAAATGAAAGTCAGTGGCATCTAAAACAACATTGGATGCCACGGACTTTCATTATATGATAAAAAAAACAGACATTTTTAAAAACATCTTTTTTGTTCCACATCAGAAAGAAATTAAATCAAGTTTGGAATTACAATAAAAAGAGACTGCATTTTTACCAAGGTAGGTGCCGTATGTGATATTCTTGTATTCATCCCAAGAGATCATGCCATCATTATTCATGTCAAAATCCTTCCATTGCCTGTCCACATTGTCATAGATGTACTTCTTTTGAGCCTTTTTGATCCATGCTTTCAGCTCAGCCTCTGTGACAAAACCATCCTCGTCTGCATCAATCTTATCCACAATTTTACTGAAAGGCAAAATAAGAAAAACAAAAGGAAATTCACTATAAGAATGTCCTCTCTTAATTATTTTTTTTGCACAGTCACATATTTTGCTGGAAACCACCAACTCTCAAAAGAAAATAATGACTTCCACTCATTTTTGTTGCAGCAAATCACTGCTAAATGCCCCTTAACACTCAGCACAATCCTTACGCAAGCCTATCCTTGCTTTCCTCTGGGGTCAGGTCATCAAAAGACTTGGCTTCCTCCTCCCCAAGGAATGCATCGTGGTCATAATCAAAGTTTGCGCCATCGTCGTGCTCTTTGCTGCTGAGCTGCGCATCATGGTGGACACGGTCCTTCTTCTCTGTGGGTTTGCTGGTGGCATAAACCACACACAGAGCAAAGCACATCAACAGAGGCCTAATCTCCATCTTCATCTTGTAAGCTCTGAGGAAAGAGAGAGCAAATATTAATATATGTCCCAAATCCCTTTTAAACTAAAATAATACTGACCACAAGAATTTTCAGTGTGGCTATGTTTGAATAAACCACTATGCAAACATAACTAAGTGAGTTAACAAGGTCTGTTTGAATCAGTGTGTGTAAACAATGTGTGTGTTTGAGTAAGAAGTGTGAAATACATGGCTGCATTTATAGGGTCAAAAATACAGTAAAACAGTAATATTGCTGTAATATTATTAAAATTTTAATTTAAATTTATTCCTGTGATGGCAAAGCTGAATTTTCAGCATCATACTTCAGTGTCACGTGATCATTCAGAAATATTATGAATAGAAAGTTCAAAAGAACAGAATTGATTTGAAAAAGTAAAGACATTTATAATGCTACAGAAGATTTATGTTTCTTTTCGACAATTTAATTTGTCCTTGTTGAATGAAAGTGTTACATCCTTCCACCAAAAAAAAAAAAAATAATAAAAACTGACCCCGAAGAGCCTGAACCTTTGAACGGTAGTGTAAATGTGTGTAGCAGGGGAAAGAGAACCATCATGACTGATAAATTATCAGACAGAAATGCAATAATAATGTTATTACAATGACCCGTATCATGCCTTTAAATAATTTCAATCTAAATAAGATATTAGTCACACCAGAAATAAATTACAAACAATGACTGCTTAGCAGTTTAATGGTTAAAATATACGTAAACAAAGACTGAGACAGATATGTTCCAAAAGCACAAATAGACGCCAGCATGTTACCTTTCGGCACATATAAGATACTATGGCAGTCTCGGTCACCATTCACTTTTATTATATGGAAAGAATGCAATGAACGCAAATGGTGACTAGGGCCGTCTGTCCTCTAACATTCTAGTTTTGTTTTCCACAAATGAAAGAAAGACATTTATAACAACATTAGGGTGAGACAATGATAACAGAATTTTAATTTAGAGGTATCCCTTTAATTATCAATACCAACTGTCCCTTTAAGTGAGTCGTCATTAACGTTACAACGCACACGGTCAGCCAATGCAACGATCAAACATATTTCTATAGAACAAACAAACGCGTATAAAAATACAAACTTACCAAGATATAGTACGAGGCCGAAAATCTCAGACACAATACTGGGGGTCTTTAGTTCAATCTGCAAACCCCTGTGCCACACCGTTTTTCGGACGAGAGCAACGATGCGATCCAATCACAGCGCGAGAAGTGAAATCCATCCACTGCCATTGGGCCACTTCAGCACTACAAACCCCGGATGTAACGGAAACCGTTGTTTAATAATGCGCTGACTCCACGCACTCTCTTTTAATTGGCTACAGTCGAACGGAAAACCAATCAGCACAAGATACTACAAAATCGGTTGATGCGTCGCTCAGGCCGTTGTTCATACAGCGAATTGTCTTATTGGGTACGTCTTGCCACGTCCCCAAATTTGAGAGAGACCCGCAAATCCTCACGGAAAGGTGCTACCATTCGTTATAACTACATAAACCAAACAGATGGTGGTAGATATTTGTAAAAGCTATCAAAGTAGTTATTATCGGCCTCGATTTTTAATGATTGGGTGGCCGGTGTTGTTTACCTAAAAACTGACTCCAGGTTCAGCCATTGATGCGTTTTACCACACTTTTACACTTTTACATTTGTAAAAGTGTAAAACATTTACCACAATTACACTCACTAATCTATATAATATCATATAGATAGATATTACACACTACAAAAACACGTGGTGCAGTAAAGCGTCATAACAAAGCGGCTTACAGCCGTGCGCATGCGCGTATCGTGGGACGCCGACGCTGCAGCCCTCACCAAGGTAACAGCTCGAGCCTGCAACCGAATCTCACACCAGAGTTCCAAAAAAAAAAAAAAAAAAAAAACACTTCTTTTGTTCACGGACCTCTTTGTGCACTAGTCGCCATTAGCTCTGACTCAAAATGACTGTGCATTTTAAGGTGAGTTATATAAATTATCCATTGGAAACGATTTTTTTTAACACAGATTGAAGGTGCACGCGCTTGTGCGACGTCATTTGTTTAAGGAACAGAGCGCGCGCTGCAGAAGATGGTTTCAGTTTTGATATTTAGTCTGGTTGTTTAACATTACTTTTAGGTAACCAAATAAACATTCATGTTAATTATAGTAAAGTATAGTTTACGCTTTGCCGAAAACAAAGAGAAACAACGTGACTGTATTAAGAAACATGTTAAACTTAAACGGTAAACCCTTTACAACCTATTGTCGGGACTTCCTGTTATTTCTTGAAGTTTGTGCGCGGACAATGGCATCAAGATTATCCAGTTGTCAGCTAAGAGCTAGTTATTAGTAACCATGGCTTTTCTGATGATTCAGAAATGTAATTAGTTATGGCGCATATTTGAATATACCTATTTACTTGTGCTAAAAAATGTACTTGTTTCTGGTATGCTCTTCTTCTAATAGGGAATCAGCGAATATCGAAGTAATTACAAGAGTCGAACAACACGACCAAGAAGCGATTCTCCACATCGCAGGATGCGACTGGCAGGATTGTCCTCTGACCAGTCAAGTATGTTATAGATAGATAAATTGATATAAAAAAAAAAAAATGAATAAGCTTATCGCATTAATAAATTGGTTAATATTAAACTGATTGATCTTTTTCTATCATTTATAGGAATTACTCGGGAACCCCAATTCACATCCAAAAGAAAAGGGCAATATTATCCACCTCAGGTATCCAGTTCTTTCCACTGGAAAGGGCATGTTTCATCTCCACAGCTTCAGGAGAAGAGCAGGCCTGTCACACCTCCTGCTGTCACACCTGTGCTCAGAGCCTCTAGTGCAGAAAGAGAGGAGACCCCTCTAGCCCCTAGAGACCCCGTGCCACCAGAGGGCACCACTACCCCATCCCACCAATTACAAGCAGATGCACAAGCAGCCCAGACATCCACCAGTGCTGCAGACCAGCAGAGACTAAATGGGGTGAGTGTTAAAAGTGTATATTGGTGCAAAGTTGGGTTGGAGAAGATTCCTTTGTGTTTCTTTACCACAATTATTTTCACACAATCACAATTCTGGAAATCTCCTCAACAATAACCAATGTGGATCATCCACATGGATAATGGGACGGCAGCCATAGTGCGCCAGAATGCCCACCGCACACCAGCTTATTGGTAGAGAGGAGACTGAGTGATGAAGCCAATTGGTATATATGGGGATGATTTGGAGGCCATGATGGATAGAGGCCAATGGGCAAATTTGGCCAGGATGCCGGGGTTACACCCCTACTCTTTCGAAAGACATCCTGGGATTTTTTTTTTTTGTGACCACAGAGAGTCAGCACCTCGGTTTAACGTCTCATCCGAAGGACGGTGCTTTATGACAGTATAGAGTCCCTATTAATATACTGAGGTATTGGGCCCCACTCAGTCCACAGGGTGAGCGCCCCCTGCTGGCCTCACTAACAGCAACCTGGTTTTCCCAGAAGGTCTCCCATCCAGATACTATTACAGGGTCAACCCTGCTTAGCTTCCGTGGGTCTTGGGCTATAGGGGATATTATTTCATGATCTCATGAATATTTACATATTTAAAGGCCAAGTCTTAATATATATTAGAATATAGTTTTTACATTTTTATGACCATAATTGGTGTATAACAATTTGAATTGTATTATTAACTAACAATACCACCATCAATGCAGTTACTGTAATTTAGAGCTTGTATTGTCTATTAGATTAACCATGCACTGCGGAAAAAAGCAGGACTGAGGTCTGAGCAACAGAGAAATGGCCGTTTGAGCTCAGAGTACCAGCGACAGTTCATGTGGAAAACGCCGGTGGCCGATTCGCCCCTGCTTGCTGCACACGAGGTACTTCCTTGCAATTTTATCAGCACTGTCACAGTTCAAAATAATTTTTAACATCTCGCATAGGCTTGCGTTCAGACCCTGGCCTGATTAACTGACATATCATTGGGCCGAGCACTTTTGCTCACCTGAAGTGTTTTCTTATATTTTAAGATATGAATTATTGATGCGTATTTGAATGCCTTGATTGTTTTTTGTGTGCATTTCTTACCTATAAAAACACTCTTCCAGTAGATGGCAGTACAGTTTTGCATGCCACTGTTTATTTTCTACACACACACACACACACACACATAAATATGTGTGTGTGTGTTATAATTGTGATATTATGAATTTTATTTATTTATTTATAATTAATAAAATTGTAATTATTCCTATTATTTATTATTTAATCATGGACCTTTTGTTGTTCTGGATAATTTCATGTCTGTTTTAGATGTTGTACAGTAACAATAGAGCCATCCCACCCTTCAAATCAAACCCTGTAATTTTCGAGAGCGAGTACAAGAGAAGTTTTAAAGGATCACCTCCTCCCAGACCACCGCGCTTGAGGCGAGATGTGGAACAATATGAGGTCCCTCTGCTTCATACAGAGAACACAACCCAAGAGAAGGTACATTGAAATATGCACCTTATTTTGAACGTAAGATCGGGTGGGGGCATTTGTAACTTGAAAGGCTTCCAGTGTCATTCGCTTCCACTTAATTTAATTTGGTATTTGCTGTCATACTATTTTAATTATCATGATCATAAACAAACTCTTTGTAGTGCAAATAGATTTACCGTTTACTGCCCTTTGTTATTCTTCGAGTTATTTCCCTATAGTTGCTAATAAATGGGAAGTTGCACACATTCAAAGAAAATCACTTAGTTCTGCGTCACTCAGTTCTTTGCATATACATTCAGCTTAGTCACATAAATCAAACTTTCCAAGTATGACAGCATCAGTATGTAGCTGGATAAACCAGTTTCAGCAACCTATTGTTAGGGCACCTGTATGGGCCACTTGATCAAACCCTGACCCTGTGCTTTTGCCTAAATGCCCACCATACCAGAGGAAGAGGAAGAAGAAGAAGGAGCGACAACACAGCAGGAAGTCAAGCCCCGAAGAGGAAGTCACCTATCTACAGAAACAGGAAATGAGGTCACCTTGTGCCCCAAGAGACCCTTCACCCAAGGCTATCAGGTGACTGTTGTAGTTCTGTTTTTTTTTTTTTCTCAGTCCTGTAAAAAACAAACAAAAAAAAAACGGAAAATTAATTTCATATGGCCGTTTCATGCATTATGCTTAATCAGCACATAAGCACAACATATTTATTTTGACACCCGTATTTTTTGAACAGGTTGCAATTATAAATTCTTCAAATTGTGTCTTTTTTTTTTTAATCCACACGAGTATTTACCAGTCTCCCTCTTTTTCTGTTTGGCAGGAAGGTGAAAACTGAGTACAGATCCAACTTTCGTTCTCCCATCCAATACAGCTACAGAGATAAAGCGTGGGTGAAGGTCAGACCTGCAAAGGAGGAGGTGAGCTTCTGGAAAAAGAAAGCACATCTATGGGAACAAAAGTGTGGGCCTAAAATAAAAATAAAATTCAAGATTTAAAGAGTTAGTTCACTCAAAAAATGTCATCATTTCACCCTCATGTCGTTCCAAACCCATAAGACTTGAAGATACTTTAATTTAAATCTGAGAGATTTCTGACCCTCCATTGAAAGTCCAGGCAACTACAAACTTGCAGCTTTAAAAATGTCTAAATTAGTTTAAATCTTAAAGTATTTCTAGAACTTCAGTTAAATAATGTTCACTAGGGTGACTTAAACACAGCAAATAAAAAATGACCGGAGGGTATGACTGCTACTATAGTAATTCAAGAGCAATTCTGACACCCATTACATGAAAGCTTGAGCTGTGGTTGATGATAGTGGCAGGGCTATAAGGAAACAGTTCCTGTATATAATCTCTCTAATCACTGGTCTGTGTGATTAATCTTGCAGGAGTGTGATGATTTTCACGAGTGGTATCATGAGGTAACTCTACCGCCTGTTACATCCATTTTCTAGCTGCTGCTGCTGTTGTCTCAGCAGATACCTTCATTTGCTTGTGTGTATCTGTTCTGTGCTGCCACATCAAATGTATGACATCATTCAAACTTCGACTAAATGGTATCATCTCATATAGACCTAGACTCGAACTGTCTGTGTGTGTGTTCAATCTGTGTATGTGTGCATGTGGGATCAATCATCAAGATGTTATCTGTCAGCATACTTGGAACTTTGAAGTTGTCTGTGGTTTTGCTGTTTTTTTTTTTTGTTTTTTTTTGCTTTCAGGTGTAACCCTATATTGACTTTTGGCTCACTC